GGTTGTGCAGATTGGAATTCAGGTTCACATGCTTGACAGCAAGTGCTCATGCCCACTGAGCCAACTCCCCAGTCCTTGACTCTGTAACTTGATGTCCAGAGACCTCCAAGGAAAACAATGTTGTTTTAAGATAGTTGATTCAGAAACCAGGTACTTTCCCAAACCAGGCAGCTGTAAACCAACGTACACAGTCCGAGCGTACAGAGAACCCCAGCTGCCAAAGCCAAAGCCGTCAATTTTTAACATTTATTTCAGTAACCAGAATGCCCCCATCTGCCACCTAAACACCCCTCCGTCACTTCTTGTAAATAACCAAAGAGTTAAGATGGAAATTGGAAGTCTGTTTGGTTGACCCATAATAAGAAACTGGTGCTCCAGGTTAGAAGACAACATTCTACCTCCTAGGCCAACACAATACTTGGATAGCCCTGTACGCTCTTCACACTGACTCTTCCATCTCGTGTCCTGAGGGTAAACACTGCCATCTACATTTTACACTAAGAGAGGGAAGAAAGTGATCCATTCGTTAATTCAACACACACTAAGGAACTCGGGATCAGATGAATAGCAGGGAATACACTCACACGCATAAAATAAAATAGAATATATTTTTTTAAAGTGGCCGGGGGTGGTGATGCACACCTTTAATCCCAGCACTCGGGAGGCAGAGGCAGGCGGATCTTTGTGAGTTTGAGGCCAGCCTGGTCTACATAGTGAGTTCTGGGGCTATAGGGAGACCCTGTCTCAAAGAGACCAAAAAAAAAAAAAAAAAAAAGGAACGGCGAAGGGGAAGAAGTGTCCTGTTGATTGGCTTTGAAGGTTGGTTGCAGTGAGGTCTTTGTCCACTTTTCTAATTTCTACTTTTGACTATAATTTTAATATTTTATATTTTAGAGCTATGTTTTTATTTTAATTTTTCTTGTTACCTTTATCAATTTTTTTTAAAGATTTTTCTTTATTTTGTAACGAGAGCTTTTTCCCTTCACAGTCTTTTTCTCTTTTTTTGTTTTTGTGACATGGTCTCACTATGTATCCCTGACTGGCCTGGAACACAGAGAGATCCCCCTGCCTCTGCCTCCCACTTCTGTATTAGTTACTTTTTGCTGCTGTGATAAAATAGGACCAAGCCAATTTAGCGGAAGAAGAGATTATTTGGTCTTACAGCTCCAGAGGGAGAGTCTACAATGGCAGGGAGGCATGGCCACAAACAGCGGGAGCATGAAGCTGCGAGCTCACATCTTGAACTGCAAGCACACAAACACAAGCAGAGCCTCAGAAGTGGAGCGAGCCTATACACTCTCAAAGGCTCACCTCCAGCGACACACTTCCTCCAGCAAGGCTCCATAACCTCCCCAAAGAGAGCCACCCCAAACATATACAATTGTAACTTTCCACTTAAAAGACATAGACTGACACTGGGTGTGGTGGCACACGCCTTTAATCCCAGCACTGGGGAGGCGGAGGCTGGCAGATCTCTGTAAGGTCAAGGCCAGCTTGGTATACATATTGAGCTCTAGGCAGGCTGGGGCTAGGGAGATCCTGCCAAAAGGGAAAAAAAAAAAAAAGGACCTACACTGGCTGCTCCCTCCTGCTTTCATCCTCTTTTTTCCCAGTTACCCCTCTCTTATAGCATTTGCTCCCCTCTCAAGGTCCTCCTTCTGCTTCATGACCTATGTACTAGTTTGCTGTCTGTTGATCTGAGAAAACACTGACCAAAACCAACTTGGAGAGGAAAGAATTTATTTTCACCTTACAGCTTATAGTCCATCGAGGGAGGCTAAGGCAGGATCTCAAAGCAGGAACCTGGAGGCAGAACTGAAGCAAAGGCCACAGAGGAACGACTGGTAACTGGCTTGCTTCTCCTGGCTTGCTCAGCTGCCTTTCCTATATAGCTTGGGCCCATTTCCCTAGAGTTGGCACCACCTACAGTGGGCTGGGCCTTCCTACATCAGTTAGCAATCAAGAAAATGCCTCACAGGCATGGTCACAGGCCAATGTGATGGAGAAAATTCCTGAATTGAGTTCCATCCTCCCAGATGACTCTTGTTGTGTCACGTTGACAAAATTAACCAGCACAACCTACAAATGCACACACACATATATACAAACACAAGCACACACACATATATATATAAACACACACACACACACACTTTTAAATCTAGATTTCCCATTATGAGAGAAAGAATGCAATATTTGTCTTTCTGAGTCTCAGCAACCTGATTTTTAACATAAGAGCCAAAAATATGCACTAGAGAAAAGATGGCCTCTTTCAACAAATGGTACTGGAAGATAAATAGATCTCTCCCTCTCACACTGTACTAAAATCAACTTAAAACGGATCAAAGACCTTATTTTAAGACCTGGAACTTTGAAACTTCTAGAGGAAAACAAAGAGCACAGACTTCAATGTTGCATAAGCAATGACTTTCTGAATGAGACTCCAGTAGCTCAGGAAATTAAGCTTCTGCACAGCAATGCAAACAGTTACAGTACAGAGTAAGCCCGCAGAATGAGAGAAAATCTTTGCCAGTTACATTTCATCTGACCAGAGATGATATCCAAATACACAAAGAACTCAGCACACGAAACACAAGACAGCTCAAGTAAAAGCGTTTGTCACCAAGCCTGTTGACCTGAGTTCAATCCCTGGGACCCATATGGTGGAAGGAGAGAAACAACTCCCACAAACTGTCCTCTGACCTCCACTCATGTATCATGGTACACACACAAAATAAATAAATAAAATATAAAGACAAATGAACACCAAAGAACAAATCATCTAATCAATAAGGCAAATGAACTGAATAGACGTTCTCAAAAGTACAAATAGGGCTGGCTCAGCAGGTAAAACCCTTGTCATGAAACCCTGACGACCTGAATTTGATCCTCAGAATGCACATACAACTAGAAGAGTTCCGAAAAAAGTGATGGGGAGATATGGGAGGAGTTGGAGGGAGGAGGTGGGCGTGGACTTGCTCAAAACACTTTATATGCATGTATGAAATTCTCAATAAATTTTTTTTTAAAGTTAAAAAAAATGGAGAATTAACTACAAAGTTGTACTCTGACCTCATGTCTCCACATGTGTGCGCGCACACACACATTTTAAAAGATTTTTCTAATTAAAAAAAAATTTAAGTACAAATGGCCAATGAATTCATGAAAAATGTTCAACAACTTAAGTCATCAGGGAAATGCATTTGAAACAACACTGAAATCCCATCTCAGTCCAGTCAGACGGCTGTCCCCTAGGAAACAATCCACAGATACCAGAGTGGGTTGTGGAGCCTCCTTATATGCTACTCTGGAGGGAAAATAAATTAGCGCAGTGACTATGGAAATCAGTATGAAGGTTCCTTAAAAAAAACTGTGACATGATCCAACCACACCGCTCTGAGGCAGACACCAAAGGAATTAAAGTCTGCATACAGTTGCCATCCTGTATATCTATGTTTATCCAGGCATGATTAACAAAAGCCAAGTTATAGAATCAGCCTAGATGTCTATCAACAGATGGCTAAAAAGACATGGCACAAATATCCACAATGGAAATGAGCAACAGTAACAAAAAACACATACAACACACACTGGTTATTATTTGACCATAGAAAAAAATGGAGGACTGGGGAGACAGCTCAGTCACCTGTAATCCCAGCACGGGAGAAACAAGCAGATCCCTGGGGCTTGTGGCCAGCTAGCCCAGACTAGTTAGTGAGCTCCAGGCCAGCAAGACAACCTGTCTCCAAAAACAAAGTACAGCCGAGTGTGATGGCACTGCAGCACTCAGAGGCGAGTTCAAGACAAACCTGGTCTATACAGTGAGTTCTAGGTCATCCCTGTCTCAAAAAACTGAAAAACCAAGATAGGCAATTTCCAAGGAATGACACCCAAGGTGGTTCTCTAGGTCTCACACACACACACACACACACACACACACACACACACACACACACGGAATGTCATTGCAAGAAAATGGATGGAACTGGAAATCATCATGTTATACTATAAGCCAGACCCCGAAAGACAAGGCCCTGTTTTTTCTCTTATGTCAAAACTGGAAAAAAAAAAAAAAAAAAAGACGTGAAAGTTGAGGGAACTATTAAGGAAGAGGAAGGGCATCAGATCAGATCAGGGAGAGAGAAGAGAGAGAATAAGGCAGGTAAAGGGGGGATGAATGTGATCACAGCGTATTACATGTATGTATGAAATGTCACAATGAAACCTGTGACTCTGTACAATTAATACATGTGAATATAAATGTTAAAGAGAAGAAAAAAGTGTAAAATTTGATAGCATCTATTTTGACATTTGCGGAGGTGAACGTTAATGAGCGATCCTAAATCTATAGATCACCTTAAACACATACTAACAGAACTTAAGAGTTTACGGTTTTCACTAGCAACATAACAAAGAGTCTGAAGAACCCACAGCACCCTGGCGAAGGCCCGGGGGTGGGCTGCACGCACAGGCCTTGGGGGGGGGCACACAGGCCGGGGGGGCCACATACAGGCCCGGGGGTGGGCCATACAGGTTGTGCACTTTCTTCCCATCACATATTTCAGTGTTTGCAAATATTTTTAAAAGTATTTATTACAGCTTCTTGTGGGTCTATAATTATTTCAAAATGAAGTTGTTGGACTTGCCCCAAGAGGTCTGAGGATGGAGTGCAGGCTAGGAGAGTTAGCCGGTGGTGCAGGTCCAGGGAAGCAGAGAGAGGTCGCAAATATTTTTTAAAGTATTTATTACAGCTTCTTGTGGGTCTATAATTATTTCAAAATGAAGTTGTTTTTTTTTTAAATAAGTGTACTGCCTTTGAAACCAAGAAATGAAAAGGATGTTGTCTTTCTAATTATAGACACTAAAATTAAAATGAAATCAGCAATAATTGTCAAAATTAAATCTTGATACTTGTATTTGTGTCTTCATTTAATTTTGCTATTTTTATCTTGAAATGAACAAAAGCCAAAGATACATATTTATAGAATATCTTACTTTACCCTTTGGCTAGTGAAGGTCTTCCATGCTGTCCCAAATAATGCCTGACCAATGAAGACATCCTAAGTCCTAAAAAGATAATTTTTATAATTAAATTATCAATCCCACAGTGAAACTGTTACAAGCAGCAAGGCTTGCTGTTAGCCCTCACCCCTACCCCATAATAGCCAATTCCAAGCAAAAACAACAAAGAATAATTACAACCCACAATGGCATACATACCTTCTAAGACAGTCCTTAATCCTGGCACTAGGGAGGCAGAGGCAGGCGGATCTCTGTGAGTTCCAGGCCAGCCAGGTCTACATAGAAAGAGCCTGTCTCAATAAACATAAATACGGCTGGAAGTTGGACATGGAGAGGCCGGTGGATCTCTGTGAATTCAAGGCCAGCCTGGTCTACATAGTGAGTTCCAGGCCAGCTGGGGTTAATAGGGAAACCCTGTCTCAAAAAGCACTGATGAGACTGCAGAGCAATCAGAACCCTCACACCTTACTGCAGGAATATAAAATGGTATGATAGCTTTAAAGAGCAATTCGGCAGTTCCTTGAAAAGGTAAACACTAGAGCTAGAGAGATAGCTCAGCAGTCAAGACACTTGCTGCTCTTCCAGTAGACCCAGGTTTAGTTCCCAACACCGACATGGTGGCTAAACAATCACCTGCATGCATGTGCTGCACACACACACACACACACACACACACAAACACACACACAAGCTAATGTTTTAAAAAGGTAAACACGGGGGACTGGACCGATGGCTTAGTGGTTAAGAGCACTGGCTGTTCTTGCAGAAGACCTAGGTTCAAATCCCAGCACCAACATGGAAGCTAACAACCGTCCATAACTCCAGTTCCAGGTGATCCAACGCCCTCTTCTGTCCTCCACAGACACTGCACAACATGGGTGCACTTACACACATACAAGCATAACACTCATACAGATAAAAATAAAAATAAATTAAAAACGGTTAAAAGGAGGCACCTGGAATTGGAAGGAACTGGAAGAGAAGGAACCACCAGTTGGAGGACGCTTTCAAGAACCCAAGGCTTTCAAGGACAATATTGACCAGGATTGATTTTCCCAGTGTAGAAAGAAACCCAGCCATGTACTTACTGAACCACCGCTTTTGTATAACAGAAACCCCAAGCTCAACCCTGACCCTCAGCCTGGTCAACAGACTGCGACACTCAGGCAGGGTGTGTGAGCTGTGTGGAAAGCTATCTTTGCTCTGTCCTTCTTTCCTGGACAAAAATATTCACCAAATAGTAAGCTGAGGATGTAGTTCAGTGGTACACCCTGTGTCTCCAGAGGCCTTGGTCTTGATCTTCACTGCCACAAAAACAAGCAAATAAATAAATCAGGCAATCAAAATAATAATTATATCATCACTGAAGTCATGCTTGGCTTTGAACCTATACCCGTTCATTTTTGTTGCTAGTTGTTTTTTGAAACTGGGTCTCCCTATAGGTCCTGGAGACCTGGAACACCCTAGGCTTGCCTCAATCTCACAGCGATCCTCCTGCCACTGCTGAGATTAAAGGCGTGTGCCACGATGCTCAGCACCTTCATCTTTTATAGCGATCAAAACATGGTGCAGGGTGCATCTGCCTATTTTAAATTTTTTTCTTTTTTACATTTACTTATCTATTTTGGAGGATGGGCACATGTGCACATAGGTGGAGGTCAGAGAACCACTTGCGGGAGTCGGTACTCTGCTTCCACCATGTGGGGCCTGGGATCGAACTCGGGTCGTCAGGCGCCAAGTGCCTTTATCCCCTGAGCCATGTCGCCGGCCCCATCCTACCTATTTTAGAGGTGAGAAAACGGGCGTAGAGGTGAAGTAACTTGCCCAAGGCCGCACAGGGTGACCACTGGAGGATGGCTGGGCCCAGGCGGGACGCCAGGGCAGGGAGATCCTGGCAGCAAGCACGTGGCAGGGCCGCCAGGGAGGGGAGCAGGGCGCCGGCTGCCAGGCTGCAGAGGAGGCCGGGGCCAGGGCGCCGCCCATCCCTCCACTGGGGAAACTGAGGCCCGCAGGACCCAGACGGCCCCGCCCCTGCCTCCCCCAGCTCCCTAGCGCCCAGTGTGGCTTCCCTGCGGTCCAGGATACGGACACTCACCTGGAGCAACTCCGCGGAACCTCGCCTCGACCTCTCTCCCCGCCAGCCTAGCTAGGCTGTGGCCACGCCCTTCTGACCACGCCCACCTGCCTCACTGGGTCCCGACAGCGCCCCCTGACGTAGCGGAGGTGCATACCAGAACCTGTCTTTGTTCTCTTTCCAGGGACTTAGATCTGGAACCCAGGACTTTGTCCTTGTTCTGACTCTACCACTGACTTTCCTCAGTGCCCCCCCTTAGCTTTTTCCTAATTTTTTTTGTCTTTTGTGACAGGGTCTCCCTGTAGCTCTAGCTGTCTTGGAACTCACTAGGTAGACCAGGCTGGCCTCCCTCGAACTCAGAGAGATCCTCCTGCCTCTGCCTCCCAAGTGCGGAATTAAAGGCGCGCACCACCACGCCCGGCCTAAATTTTTCTTTCTTTCTCAGTCACTCCTCTCCATTACCTTTTGCCTTCTAGTTTGTTTGTTTGTTTGTTTGTTTGTTTGTTTTGAGACAGGATTTTACTATGTAGCCCAGGCTGGCCTGGACCTCACCGTGTAACCAGACTGGCCTGGACTTCACAGGGATCCACCTGCCTCTTCCTCCCAAGTGCTGGGATTAAAGGCAGGGGCCACCACACGGGGCTCTTCCCTCTTATTTTGTCTTTCATATTTTTGCAATCAGATCATCCATCTTCATCCTTTAATTCTGCATTCAATATTTAAGTGTCACAAACTGATCAAAATGTTGAGTATATGGCAGAAAAGGCAGAATTTCTGCACCCAAAAGCTTAAGTTCTATTAAAAGCGATGACAATAATGGAAGGCCCACCACCCGCAGCTGCAACACAGACCACACCACACACACATCCATACACTCCCAAGTCAGGTTCCCTAGGTATGTCCATTCCTGTAAAGATGTGCCACTTCTTCTCACTGTGGACTAGAGAAGCCTACATGGCAATGAGGGAATTTTTGCTTGTTGGGGTGCAAGCTTTTGTTTTGTCATTGTGATATTAATGAATCTGTGATTAATTTATTTCTGAGGATCAGCTGTTGAATGAACCTCTTTAGTAGTGCTGGGGTTGGACTCAGGACCTCATGCACTCTTTCATCACTTTAAGAGGGGAAAATGTACCCTTGGATTGCCCCATAGAGCATGGCCTAGGGTGCAAAGTTTCCAGAGTGGGACCATCATGGTTGTCCACTGGGACATGAGGGTAGCCGTGGGGCTGAATGGAGGCAAGGCAGGATGCACCTGTTCAATCAGGCCTGGCCAATAGAACAGAATAGAGCCCAGAAACAAACCCTCAAAAGCAGAGGCAGTGGCCAGATGGCAGTATGTTGGGGACCCCTGCTGTTTAGGGTAGCAGTCTCCCCATGTCCGGATACATGGAAGCTAACAACCGTCCATAACTCCAGTTCCAGGTGATCCAACGCCCTCTTCTGTCCTCCACAGACACTGCACAACATGGGTGCACTTACACACATACAAGCATAACACTCATACAGATAAAAATAAAAATAAATTAAAAACGGTTAAAAGGAGGCACCTGGAATTGGAAGGAACTGGAAGAGAAGGAACCACCAGTTGGAGGACGCTTTCAAGAACCCAAGGCTTTCAAGGACAATATTGACCAGGATTGATTTTCCCAGTGTAGAAAGAAACCCAGCCATGTACTTACTGAACCACCGCTTTTGTATAACAGAAACCCCAAGCTCAACCCTGACCCTCAGCCTGGTCAACAGACTGCGACACTCAGGCAGGGTGTGTGAGCTGTGTGGAAAGCTATCTTTGCTCTGTCCTTCTTTCCTGGACAAAAATATTCACCAAATAGTAAGCTGAGGATGTAGTTCAGTGGTACACCCTGTGTCTCCAGAGGCCTTGGTCTTGATCTTCACTGCCACAAAAACAAGCAAATAAATAAATCAGGCAATCAAAATAATAATTATATCATCACTGAAGTCATGCTTGGCTTTGAACCTATACCCGTTCATTTTTGTTGCTAGTTGTTTTTTGAAACTGGGTCTCCCTATAGGTCCTGGAGACCTGGAACACCCTAGGCTTGCCTCAATCTCACAGCGATCCTCCTGCCACTGCTGAGATTAAAGGCGTGTGCCACGATGCTCAGCACCTTCATCTTTTATAGCGATCAAAACATGGTGCAGGGTGCATCTGCCTATTTTAAATTTTTTTCTTTTTTACATTTACTTATCTATTTTGGAGGATGGGCACATGTGCACATAGGTGGAGGTCAGAGAACCACTTGCGGGAGTCGGTACTCTGCTTCCACCATGTGGGGCCTGGGATCGAACTCGGGTCGTCAGGCGCCAAGTGCCTTTATCCCCTGAGCCATGTCGCCGGCCCCATCCTACCTATTTTAGAGGTGAGAAAACGGGCGTAGAGGTGAAGTAACTTGCCCAAGGCCGCACAGGGTGACCACTGGAGGATGGCTGGGCCCAGGCGGGACGCCAGGGCAGGGAGATCCTGGCAGCAAGCACGTGGCAGGGCCGCCAGGGAGGGGAGCAGGGCGCCGGCTGCCAGGCTGCAGAGGAGGCCGGGGCCAGGGCGCCGCCCATCCCTCCACTGGGGAAACTGAGGCCCGCAGGACCCAGACGGCCCCGCCCCTGCCTCCCCCAGCTCCCTAGCGCCCAGTGTGGCTTCCCTGCGGTCCAGGATCCGGACACTCACCTGGAGCAACTCCGCGGAACCTCGCCTCGACCTCTCTCCCCGCCAGCCTAGCTAGGCTGTGGCCACGCCCTTCTGACCACGCCCACCTGCCTCACTGGGTCCCGACAGCGCCCCCTGACGTAGCGGAGGTGCATACCAGAACCTGTCTTTGTTCTCTTTCCAGGGACTTAGATCTGGAACCCAGGACTTTGTCCTTGTTCTGACTCTACCACTGACTTTCCTCAGTGCCCCCCCTTAGCTTTTTCCTAATTTTTTTTGTCTTTTGTGACAGGGTCTCCCTGTAGCTCTAGCTGTCTTGGAACTCACTAGGTAGACCAGGCTGGCCTCCCTCGAACTCAGAGAGATCCTCCTGCCTCTGCCTCCCAAGTGCGGAATTAAAGGCGCGCCCCACCACGCCCGGCCTAAATTTTTCTTTCTTTCTCAGTCACTCCTCTCCATTACCTTTTGCCTTCTAGTTTGTTTGTTTGTTTGTTTGTTTGTTTGTTTTGAGACAGGATTTTACTATGTAGCCCAGGCTGGCCTGGACCTCACCGTGGTGGAGAGAAGTCTTGGTTTGCCCAATGGTCTGGTCTAAATGGGCAGTGCTGGCAGCTGCTCACGTGGACGTCTGATCCTCATTCCCCAGGGAGGACGAAGGCTGCAGGCACTTCTCAGCTGCCTGGTCTTATGTTATTTGCTACCAGCTGTCACTGGACCCTGGACTCTCTCTAGCAGTTCTTGCAAAGAAGATGGTGCCCTGTGCAAGGAGCACCAGGGGATGCTGGGTTTCCTGGTCCTGGGTCATAAGGAAGGCTGTTAGCTGAGGGAGCTGCCTTTTCCACCAGGAACTTGCTTCCTGGTCAGAAAAGAGCTGGGGAGCAGCACCAGTTTTCCAGGAAAGCACCTCTGTGGAGGGAGTAGGGGAGTCCTTGAGCCTGGGTGCCCGCTTTTTCTTTTGTTCTTTGCCTCTCAAGCCTCCAGCCTCCTTGGCATCCAGGTTGCTGCTGGAATCTGGAAACATGAAAGCTGAGTGACTGGGGTTTGGGTCTGGGAACTCCCTGGATTTCCAGGGCAGAGTGGCCTGATTTGATCTCACAGAGTAAAGCTTACACATGTTCTGTTGGGAGTCCCAGAATAAGCTCCTGGTCACTTCCTTTGGTGACTGTGGACTGAGTGTCAATGTCTCACATCAGGTTTCAGATCTTGGTTTTACTCAAGCACTGGTCCCTCGGGGATTTCAGCCTGTGCCTTTGGCTGCAATCACTATTGTGTTAGACATGGGAAGGTCACAGACTGTTGGGGACCCCTGCTGTTT